ATGAGAGGGAGGCGTGAGGAGAGAGCTCCACACTGGCAAGAATGGTACAAACAAGAGCCTGGTCGTTAGTAAGAAGACCATCCAGAAGTCGGACCATCCCGAATGCCATGCCTGCCCCAGCCCCGCCCCCAGAGGTGAGCCTGCACAGGAGCTGCTTGGTGGGGGGGGGTGATGGAGTGAGGGACGCTGCCGGTGCCGGATTGTGGGCCTAATGAGAGGCCCCGATGGTGCCCAAGACCCTGACCAAGGGTGGCAGCTGATCAAGAGACTGAGCACCTTTAGAAGCCGCAGTCTCTTCCTCCAGGCACCCCAGGCTTGTTCCAGCACCAGCTCCTTGGGGAGGTGGCAGCTTTCGGGGCTGTACCTGCAACTCTGGAGGGCTCCTCTCCATGCCAGGGTGTGGGCACCGTGGGCAGCGGGTTATTCCCGGGGGCCAGCAGCACCTCGTCCTTCACTTTTTGTGAGATAAATCGACCCCACTGTAAGTCTACCCACCACGAACCAGGTCAGCCTTCCCTCGCACCAGAGCCCAAACTAAACGCACGCCCAGCCCAGCGTTCCCTGAGAACCCGGACACGCCGGCAGCCTCCCCGGCACCACTTTCCAGCAGGGCAATCGCAGCACAGGGAGCGATGCGGAAAGACACTGGGCCGACTGATTGTTCTTGTAGCTGATTTCCAATCTGACAAAGATCTGCACCCTTGAAAACAGCTGCCTTGGGCCCCTGCCCGAGACACAGCCTGCCAATCGCCTCGACCAGCACCCAGCCTTCCGTCCTCTGGCTGCAGAATCCCGGTTGCAGTGGGGCACCAGCACCGCACAAAGTTACAGACCCCATTTCGCAGCCTGCATTGCAGCTCGACATGGATGTTCAAAGTGGGAGGAGAGGTCTCCCTGAAGGACTGGTTTAGGAAGGGGGGAGTCCCCTCGCGCAAAGCCCCCACCTCTAATGCCACTTCTCTGTCCTCCTCCCTTCTCCTCCCCCACACCCTTGCTAAAGATGCCCGACTGTCCCTGTGGACAAAGTAAACAATCTTTACACTTATCATAAATCCTTTAACAAAGTCGTATTGACGAACTGAACACATAGACTCAAAGGCCATTCATAGAATTAGATCAACTTTCACTTTAGCTCAATCCTTAGCAAATGACTGTCTGTAGGGAGCACCTGGGAATTTTTCTTGACAACTATGTTACTAAAGTGGGGGTGGGCAGGACTGGGGTTCGCAGCTAGAAGCCACGGAAGGGAGGTTAAAGGACACAACATTTCCAGAGTCAAATAAAAGCCAAGTTTTCTTTAATGGAGGTACAGATGATTGAACCCTGGACCTCATGCATGCTAAGCACATGGTTTACCACTGAGCTATATCCCCTACCAAAAGCCAAGCCATTCCCTCATTTCTTCAATAGTAATGAGATTGTCACAGGCTCTGTAGGTGGTATCCCTTTGTCACCTTCTCTTCTAAGCCTCCTCTTTTTATGAGCCCATCTCCCCAACATTACCTTCTCACCAGCGTTGGAGCTGTGCATCCCCTCATTTGTTTGTATTCATTCATTCATTCATCAAACAATTGTCGACTGTTTTATGTGAGACACTGTGTTAGTAAAGAGTCATTCCAGTCATTCCATACATATGGTAGAACTGCCCCCCCCAAACAACACTTCGCTTGAGTAAAAAAGTTTATTTCTCTCTGTTGTGAAACAAGCCTGGAGGTCAGCAGCCCAGGGCACCCAGGCCCCTTCAGTCTTGCTGTCATCCAAAGTCATCATCCTGTGGTCCAAAATGGCTGCTCAGCTCCAGCCGTCACATCCACATTCCAGGCAGCAGGAAGGAGGAAGGGAAAAGGACCAAAAAGGGGGCCTACCCATTCAATCCCTTTCACCTGGAATGTGCTGGGTCCCACCTGGCCAATCCTGCTCACCTGTCAGGTCAGGCTCCTTGAATACGCATACCTCCTTCTCCTGATAATGGAGCAGTTATTTGTATAACTGTTTTTGTGCACGTGGGTCTCCACTAGACTGTAATCTCCAGGAAGGCAGGGACATGTGTGTAGAGCTTTCTGCTGCAGTCCCAGTGCAGTGCCAGGGAAGCAGCACCTCTCCCTGGGGGGGAGGGGGGTGCATGGATGAGCTAGACCTGAACCTAGGTTTTCTCTGGACCCTGTTCTTGCTTTTCAGACCTGGGCTGTTTTTTGGTGATGAACAGGGCTTCTAAGGGAAGATGCGCCAGATCAGGGTGCAGGGGTAAAATTACTCTTTCTGCTTCGTTTCCATTACTCTAATGGTGACCCATTTTGTCTGCCTTACACTGGGCTGTCTTCAAGATGACAAGATGACAATGTCCCACCAGGTCATTGCTGAGTGCACAGAGCCCATTACAGCACTGGCCATGGGTCCCAGCACAGCCTGTGCCAGGAAGCAGGTGTCCGCCGTCTGGGTACACTGTCCTCCTTTGTCTGAACATGTCTGCTGGCCCCGGAAAAGCACGGCACCCCTCCTCGCTTCTTCCTTGCTTGGTCTGCAGCCTTACATTGCCCACCTAACTCTTCCTGGCCAGGGCCACCAGCCACACCCAGGATTTGTACAGACTCCCCTCACCTAGACTGAGGCAGAAGCAGTGACGCTGGGTGTCCCCCCCAAATGGTGTCATGGTGACAGACCGTGCCAACTCAGAGGCAGCATATTTGTACAGAGCACGTGTCTAGCTATTCATTGTGGCTCTGTTAAGTGGGTTCACAATACATGTCAAGATTGCTTGCAATTTTTCCATGAGACACGTGGAGAAAGCGGCCAGAGGGCAGGATTCCGGCTTTTGGAGGCGCTCTCGTTCTCTGTCTGCCAGCCCCATCGCCGTCTGCCCTGACTGCACGGGGCCCAAGCGCGCGTCAGGGTTCTGCCTCCTGGAAGGCTTGGGGGCTACTGGCAGGATAAACAATCTGACGGCCCCACCGAAGAGCATCGCTCATGTCCTGCTTGTCTGCAGGGGCCACCTTTACCCACTTGGGGACCTGAATGCTGGCTCTGCGGCCAGGGCGTTCTCTACCCAAGGACTTCAGTTTAGAGCTTCTGCTTCTTCAGACAGATGCAGGGGCTCCTTGGCAAAGTAAACTGAGAACAGAAGGGTACTCAAGCTCTCACCGATGGCAAGAGGCACCTAACGTGGAAGACGGAGGAAGGCTGAAATTGGCCAAACGTCCGGTGCTCTGGGATGTGTTCCTTCCTGGTCTCTCCGACTAAACCAGCCATTGTCAAAAGGTAGTGGCATTTCTCAGGGAGCCCGAGGCAGCCGTGGATGGCCCCGGTCCCAACAGCGTCTGCAGGAGAGGCTGTTCCCATCACTTCTCCAGGGAGAGAGCTGCCTCCTCTCTTCTGCATCTCAGCAGTCCATCAGTCTGCCCACCATGACAGAGGCTGCCAAGGAGGCAGCCTCCCACCCCCTCTTCCCTCCCCAGTACGAGTGCACTCCTGAGTTGACTGTGGGCTTCAGAAATCAGCCTGTGACTCCTGCTCAGGGGCCCCTTGTCCCTTACTCTCCTCCCACCCCCGGCTGCCAAAACAGTGACCAGAAGTCAAAATATGCCCTTTAGAATGCAACCCACATTCCCCTGCCACCTCCATCTCAGCCAGGAGTCTGTCCCTGAGACCCTTCACCAAGCCAGGTGTCCCCACCAGCAAACCAGGTGGGCACTCAGCACCCTGGTTTAGGGCCTTGCTCCTTCCTAACCAGTCAGCTGGCCTTGACTGGAGTCCTCGGGCACCGCAGGGTCACTCCTCGGCCCTGCAGAGGCAAGTGGCGCTCTCCCGCAAACAGCCTGAGCTATCAGCGCTAAGGCCCCCAAGACTGAGCGTAGGACCCAGGTAGGGGGTCAGCATCGTTATTATTTGTCCTGAATCCTATTCACTCCAGGGTCCTCGATGACATCAACCCACCTAACACTCAACTTGGCAGGTGGGGCGATGGCTGCAGCCTCCTGGCAGCAAGCCCCGGCCACCGGCTGGCACCTCCAAGCAGGGCCGCCTCTGTCTGCGGGGCTGTGGGCTTCAGTGGCCAGTAGCATCCAGCCAGAGGGGAGGAGAGGGTCAGGCAAACTTTCTCCTAATGGCCTCATCTTTCTTCAGAAGCCTGGAGGTGCCTCACCGGCGTGTCCCCTGCTGTCCATGTGTGGCTGAGGGACAGACCGGGCCTGGCAGAAGCCAAGAAAGTATTCATGGGTAAGCCAAGGAAGGCCCTCTTCCTGCGAGATTTTTGTCACCTGCCACGGGACAGCCCCTCCCAGCTGCTCTGCCACCTGCCAGCCCACCCACCCCTGGCTGCCTCTGGGAGCCTGAACTGGTCTCCCTCTGGATCCCCCAGGCCCTCAAGGGCTGGACCACTGCCTGAGCCTGCTCCAAAGAGCTCTGTGTCCTTGGGGATCAGGGGCCCCTTTCCACCCAGCAGGGCCTGTGGGATGTAGGGAAAGCCCACAGCTCTTGAGGCCGGATAGCCAGTGGGCCCCCAAGAACTGACAGCCTAAGGGCCTTGGCTGATTAGGCCCGTTTTAGAAAAACAGAACAGGGGCCTGGGCACCCGAGGGGCGCTGGGCACCAGGGGGCGGGGGAGCTGGGTGGGCTTCCACCTCCTGCCCTCACTCCATGGATGGCTCCTGAGAGGCTGAGCGCGAAATTTGGCTGCTGCAAAAGTGTGCGTGTGTGTGTGTGTGTGCGCGCGCGCGCGCCCAGGACAGTGTGCCCGCGCCTGTCTTGGACTGAGGGGTCTCAGGCGGTGGAGCTCCTGCCGGGCGCAGTGGCCTGAGAGGCTGGGGGCGCTGTGCGGGTGTGGGGTCCTTACTCTGCCATCCCCCAGCCGGGTAACAGGCTTGGGGCCCTCCCCCGCGGGTCTGGGGCTCTGCATT